GCAGGAAGGCCCAGATGTAGGGCAAGGCGGTGGACAGGAGATGTATGATCGGAGCTGCGACTCAGACAGCTGCTCCATCCACTCCCATAAGCATCTAGGCCATAGCCTGGCAGATGTGCTGGAGGGCATCACTGCTCAGAACCTCCAGAGGGGAGACCCTAACAACATGGTGTCCTTGAGTCACGCCAGAGCATGCACCTTCAGGGAGGGGACTGCAGATGGTCACGTGGTCTCTGGAGGGGTTCTGTCTAAATGTTATGTCTTCCATGTGTGTTTACGGGCTGTTCTGGAGGTGGGCTTTGTCCTCGCCCAGTGGAAGTTGTTTGGCTTCCAGGTGCCAGTGCATTTCCTTTGTACCTCAGCCCCCTGCAGCCAGCCCGTGGACTGCTACGTATCCAGGCCCACGGAGAAGACCATCTTCCTGATCTTCATGTTCTGTGTGGGTGTTTTTTGTATCCTGCTCAATCTGCTGGAGCTCAACCACTTGGGCTGGAAGAAGATCCGGCAGGCGGTGAGGCTGAGGGAGAGTGCATCCTGGGGACGTTGTCCAGGTATGAGGAGGGGATATGAGACCTTCCCTCCAGACAGCCCTTCTCTCACATCTTCTATAGGCTTCAGGGGTGTGACCAGCACCACCTGCCTGCCCACTTTGGACCTGGTGGTGGGTCACAAGCCTGAATGGACCTGTGCTGTGAACTGTGGCAGGATAAGGGAACCTGAGGGGGTCAGAGAAACAAGACAGGGGCAACCAAAGAGACAGGACTCCCATAAAGGAGACAGGCAGCCTCTGAAGAGTAAGAGAGAGATCAGAGGCTCCAAGCAGAGGAGTACTGAGGTCTGGATATAGTCTACGACCCCTGGGGAAGCATGCCCTTATTTGTGTAGACCCATGGATCTCACTTTGGAATTCAAAGTGTCCCCAGCAAATGTCACCATTTAAATAAATGGTTCACCCAATATTTGTTCTAACTTACCTTTACTTGAATGTAGACCAGGACATTGTTTCAATGAAATATACACTACTGGCAATTTCTATAACTAAGTTTTTATTGTACACCACAAACTAATTTTACCTCATTTTACTGACATGGAGGCAGAAATCCCTGAGACAGATATCTCAAAGCCTGGACATATAAAAACAAAACTATCTGCATGGCTAGACACAACAAGAGGTAACACAGAAAATACTTTTTTTGAGGTCCACCTAGCTTAACCAATGCAGTCTAATCCAGCCATCCTGCAGTAAATCCTGCTTTCATGCAGGTTATAATTTTCAGTTTTTGCTCAAAGTGTTGAAGAAGAGAAGTTAGTGTGTTGATTCAGCTTCCATTGTTGAGGCTGTGGTTTGCAGGGCTTTTGGATTGTAAGGCATTACACTAACACAATTAGTATTTTGTCTTCAATATTTATTTAAGTGTGACCAGTGTGCATTAATGAGTAGATATAGTATGGATCTGCTGGTTAAGCTGCATACTATATAACTGCAAAGTCCATAATTTCATTCCAACAGGACATTTCCTGTCTGTATCCCTACTGACACTTTCGAATAAAGTCAAAAAGGCCAACATGACCAATAAATTGAATCAACCCCTACTTAAATGACATGGTTAAAGATCTTATATCTACTGCTCTGATTGGATTCATTCTGTCAACAAATGCCTCTCCTATCCATTAAAAAGAAACCCTTCACATACTGCACCTCTGGGACAAAATCTTAACTGGATGGATTGTCTTAAAGCCTAAAGCCATTAAAATATGTGATTTAATCCAGTGTTTAATTCAATTCAATTCAATTTTATTTGCATAGCGCCAATCTATAACAGAAGTTATCTCAGGACACTTTTCAAATAGAGCAGGTCTAGACCGAACTCCGTTTACCATATTACAGTATGTTTGTGTGTGCCATACTATGTTGGACTTTATAATGGAATCAAAATCTATGTGGATGTGCCATGTACTAATTGGTCACACTGCACAGGGTCAACAGATGGCTGGGTAGGAAGGAGACTTCAGAGACTGATCACTGATGAGAGGGGTTGATCATTTAAGGCAAAGGCTCCCAACTTTTTTTGTGTGATTATTTAATATAAAACAATGTCTACTTGTTACCCCTCATGAGTAATTTTTAGACTTTCATTTGAGCAGCTTTCAGAGGCCCAAAGAGATTAAATTATACAGTATTAAAGGACCAGTGTGTAGGTTTTAGTGGCATCTACCGGTGAAGTTGCAGATCACAACTGTGCTTCACTCTCCCTTTCCGAGCACGGAAACTATGGTGGATGCGAAACGTGAAAAATGTGAACAGCTCTATCTAGAGCCAGATTGGTTTGTCCGTACTTGGCTACTGTAGAAACATGGCCACTACATCGCAGGCGACCCGCAGCGGCTGTAGATATAAACAGCTCATTCTGTAGTAAAAACATAATTCCTATATT